CACACTTGTGAAATGGCCCTGAAATTGCATGGCTCTCATGAAACAATACATAAACATCTAATGAATATGGGAAACCCCATAAAGAAGGTGTTTGGGTGCATCTCGAACTCTCAGATGATCATCGTTTCCAACGTGTCAACGTTGATCCACCTCTTCTGGCGGTGAACTATTTTTGGACAGAATTGTCACCAGTGATGAAAAATGGATTCTCTATGCGAATATTAAACGCCAAAAACAATGACTCAGTCCTAGACAAAAACCACTTTCGACTCCAAAACCTGGACTCTATCCGCAGAAAGCGATGCTTTGCATTTGGTGGGACATCAAAGGAGTAATTCATTTCGAATTCCTCAATCCACAGCGATCTGTCAATGCAGAGATCTATAATCAGCAACAGGAACGTTTAAATCAAGCCCTTCACTTTTCAATAGGAAAGGTGTTCTTCTCCACCCATTCAACCACTTTAAGAGAAATAGTTTATGAAATGCCATATGAACGAGTAACCAAAATAATTTATACACACAAGTTAAACTCGGCAAATTCATCGCTTCTGAAATAGAAAAACATTATAGATTCGAGACTTCTAAACCCAAGTTATCCGTTATCATTTACTTTATTCTACGTATGTTAAATTAATATTCTTTAATAAATTCCTGATACAGATCAATTCCCACTGACTCTCCGTAACCAAAATCCAAGTTTCCACACACGGTCAAATTAATTAAAGGAACTGTTAAACCTACTGATAAGACCAACACGGGAAAATCTCCCCAGAAAACTAATATTTCGGGTTAGATGTCTTCGAACAGTGCCCAACAGAAAGGGTTTGTATTAGAAAAATCACGTTACACCCAATCAGCTCCAACTATCGCAGCCATCTGTTTCCATCACAGCCACAAAAGTATTACACTCACCAAAAATCTGGCTTGATAATAGCACAGAAGTGTGTTGACCTATAGTTCTTGTAACGTTCCTACCATGCTGGGCTCTCCAGTTAATGCAAATTATGTATTAAAAGATCTAATATTCTTCAGTCATTTTATTCGAAAACCGACAAAGGAAAATTTTTTGAGCAATAGTAAGTCGTATAAATGTTTATAATCTATTGATGGAAGTATTTAACTTGTTCGAACTTTATTTTAATCAAAATTTTACTGCACAACTTAATCCGATTTTGTTTTATCCTTTCTCAAACAAACATTGTATATGCAGTTTACATAACCCTAACCCAATGCAAGTGTATGAACATACTTTAATTACTTTCTGGGCCAAGGAATTATAAAGTTCTCTTTAGGTACTTCTTTTATAATCAAACTAAATATTGATCTTACAAAATTTTGGTGATACCATAAATTCAGATATTGATTTAGAAAAATACATTTGTTTAAAAAAAAAGAAAATTCGATTTGTTAACATACGTGTTAACTCACTGTATTGCATCATATTGAATAACTACGATTTGCTTGTTGTAGCACTCAATGCTTAGAACTTGTTAAAGATGAACAAAAAGGGAAGGAGAATGAACCCCCATTTTTTTGACATAAAATACGGCTGTAATTAATGGGATTAACTGAAATATTGATTGTATTTTTTGTTTAATACTTTGTGTGGCTGGTATGACATTAGGGTTCCTGTAATCAACAAAGTAACATACCCAAAAACGAAACTGGTGCAGAAACATCATAAAATGTGTTAATAAAATCTTATGGCATTTAAGTATCCCATCTGTAATGTTATGGTTAAGTGAATCGGTACTTTTAGCATCTCATTCAAATGAAACACTGTAAAATGAAAAATAAGAAACTTGACACTTGCTTGGTTTATAGGTGTTAAAAAATCTGAAAAAATGTTTAATAATTTAAAAACTAAATATACAAAATTCACCATTGCAGACAACAGATGTTTCTCATTCTTTAACCAAAAAGAGATTTTTCTGATAGACTAAAAATTTGAGCATTAAATTATCTGCATAAGCTAAGACATCTGAACACATAAAAACTAAATGTTAGCAAGTTAAGATGTCCTACAATCTGCTTAGGAAAAATTTATTTCAAGAAATGGAATTTAGGCTTCTTCCAAGGGTTCTTCCTCATCAAATTCCCCCTCATCCTCAGCAGTGGCTTCCTGGTACTGCTGGTACTCAGACACCAGATCATTCATGTTGGATTCTGCCTCAGTAAATTCCATTTCGTCCATTCCTTCACCAGTGTACCAATGTAAGAAAGCCTTTCGTCGGAACATAGCTAGAGTAACAATTGAAAGCAATGTTAATATCAAATATACATTGGGAAATTAATCAATATTTTCCATTGTTAAGAAGCTATTTCCTCCCCAGATATTTAGAAGCATGAGAATGTTTCATTAATTAAGAAGTTATTCTTTAGTGTGCTGAATATTTCTTGTCACTATTTCAATAGTATTGAATGTGTTCATCTGATTAAATGAACATAGCTGGAAGAGTTGTTTTGAAATAATTAATTTTTTTTTTAAAGAACAGCTACAGAATTAGAAATTAATTATATTATAGTGTATGTTGCAATAAGACTTCTTAAAAGTGGTGTTAATTAGATATACATCTTTAAGTTGGAGTATATTTTAAAAATATTTAGTAATATTCATACAATCAATATTTTAAGTATTTACCAGTAAACTGTTCAGAGATCCTCTTGAAGATTTCCTGGATAGCAGTGCTATTTCCAATGAAGGTAGCACTCATCTTCAGCCCTCGTGGAGGAATGTCACACACGGCTGTCTTGACGTTATTGGGGATCCATTCGACAAAGTAACTACTGTTCTTGTTTTGGATATTCAACATCTGTTCATCAACCTCTTTCATGCTCATGCGTCCACGGAAGATTGTTGCAACTGTTAGATAGCGGCCATGGCGAGGATCACAAGCTGTCATCATGTTCTTGGCATCAAACATTTGTTGAGTTAGTTCAGGTACAGTAAGTGATCTGTACTGCTGGCTCCCTCTGGATGTAAGTGGTGCAAAACCTGGCATGAAGAAATGTAGTCGAGGGAAAGGAACCATGTTGACAGCAAGTTTTCTAAGGTCAGCATTCAGTTGGCCAGGAAACCTTAGGCAAGTAGTGACTCCAGACATCGTGACAGACACCAGATGGTTTAGGTCACCATATGTTGGAGTGGTCAGTTTGAGGGTACGGAAACAAATGTCATACAGAGCTTCGTTGTCAATACAGAAAGTTTCATCTGTGTTTTCCACAAGCTGGTGAACAGAGAGAGTAGCATTGTACGGTTCCACAACTGTGTCAGATACCTACAGAAAATACCAAAACAAACAACTATAAGAATTTTTAAAACAATGATTTTCATTATACTAAGTAAAAAAAATTAAAACACATTCTGAACATAACATTATAATGATTATGTACTTTTAAAGCCAAGTTTTGCAAAACTTGGAATGAAAGCACAAGAGATTTATGAGTGTTTTGAGTACACTAATGTTTAATTACCCTAGAAAAATAAAGTAATTTTTTGTTCTCTTTGATTATGAAAATATTCTCATTTCTTTTGCTGTTATACATAATTCACACAAAACCTTTACCTATTTAGATTAACTGTAATTTTGTGCTACTGCAAAAGAAATGTGAAAGTTAATATTTATCAGTACCTTTACATAGGGAAAATATACTTAGGAACTTTATTCACAGATCACAAGTAGCATAACCAAGTATGAAATTTTGGGTGGTCCCAATTACAATACATAAGAAGGTATACAATACCTTCAGGACAAGTTACACACAGTATGTATAACATATTCAGACATGGCAACCTTTATGTAGTCTAACTGAATGGGTACACTGTGGCCCACCCATGGCTATACCAACTCTCTCAGAATATCCAAATAAATAATTATCTTAAAATCACCTTTGGTGATGGCATAACACTGAAAGTGTTCATAATCCTATCGGGATATTCTTCCCGAATCTTGGAGATCAGGAGGGTCCCCATTCCAGATCCAGTTCCTCCTCCTAGAGAGTGAGCCAACTGGAAACCCTGGAGACAATCACAACTTTCCGACTCTTTCCTCACAACATCTAGAACAGTGTCTACAAGTTCAGCACCTTCAGTGTAGTGACCTTTGGCCCAGTTGTTTCCTGCTCCACTCTGACCTATGGGAATAAAAGATGTGTTTTATTATTTACAGCAAAATATGAGTCTGGATATTAATCATTTAACCTATTTAAGAAAAGTTGTTAAAATATATATAAAAATCAATAACACGTAGTACTTCAACTAGTTTAAATGGAATAGGGAATACTTAGTATGCTGAATATGAAACTCTCGTATAATGATTGCAAGTATTAAATCTAAATTGGTCATTAACTTTACACCATTTATCTTGAACTCACCAAATACAAAATTATCAGGACGAAACAGCTGTCCAAAAGGTCCAGATCGAACAGAGTCCATTGTACCAGGCTCCAAATCCAACAATATAGCACGAGGGACATATTTACCTCCTATTCATTGCAGAAATTAAAAGGTATTAATATAAACAAACATACTTTGTAGTTATACATACATACTATTTAACTTTGCTTAAGGTAAAATAAGATAAACACTATTTGAAAGTACTATGTTTTATTTTTAAAATAAAAATTTATCAAGACAATATCTGTAAGCATATAGGTAAGTTCACTATATAATATGTCCAATTTACGTGAAAATAGATTTTAAATACATATATCCAGATGAGACTTTCTTGACAATGTAAATCCCAATACACTGTATAACCTCGTAAAACGTTTTGCGATGTAGTTTGTTTGGTGTTTAGCACAAATCTACACAATGAGCTAAGTATGCTGTGCCCACCACGGGTGTATCACCTCATAAAATGTTTTGCCATGTCGTTTATTATTAAGCACAAATGCACACAACGGGTTGTGCCCATCACGGGTATCGAAACCCAGTTTTAATGTCATAAACCTTAAGACTGCAATGTAAATCCCAATACACCGTATAACCGTTTCAATGACTTATGGCTTATAATCCTAAATAATGCGGGGTTTAAACCTTGCTGTTTGCAAAATGCGGACAGCACACTGTATACCTCTGTACTTAAACAAATAATGCTTGAAATATTTACTTTCCATAATGATTTAAAAACCTTAAAAATAATTAGCTTGATTTCAAATGTCCATTATATTCATTTAAATAGATTATACGTTTATTAATGAAAAATATATCTTAAAGATTTATTTATTTTAAATCAAACATTTTTTTAAAGTTCCACTGACGATCATATTTATTACAGCCATACACACCTGATTAGAAGTATTTTATCGTAGGCGCGTCTGAAATATGACATCATCATGACAGACCATATATGGTCATGACTTTCGTCTACGGTGAGCACAGTTAGGAAATAATTTGTTTTACCCTATACAACGCCCACTAAAATATATTTTTTAACATCACGGTGTATGCAATTGTGACTTCCGTTCTCCGAGTGGAAAGGCTAGCGATAAGGTACATTGCTTAAGCTTACGTTTTGTATCACAAAACATTAGAATTTGAGAAGATAAATATTTTATAAAGTAACCCGTTTTCATTTCATGATAAGATACTAATACAATTCTCAGGTTCGAGCATTTAAACAAACCTCTTAAAGCAACCAAGTCTGCGTATACACAACTAAAAAATAAATTATGCTGAGGGTCCCATGTTTTAACTTTTCGTGCAGACGGCATATCGATTTGTCGAAATCCACGACTAGTTCCCATAGCAACACAGTTCTCGTATCCCTATTTAATTCATAAAATTAAGTGTTATCTAGTTTCTGTCACTTCGTATAAATGAACTATACTGTAAGCTGCAAAATATTTTGTGCTCCATAGTTAGACTATGGAGAAAAACAAACTAACAATAGAACGGAAGAGAAGTGGAAGAGTTCATTTTCACCTGAAGCTTCATTGTAATAAACGTTGATTCTCTCTAACTGCAGGTCCGAGTCTCCATGATAAGCTCCGATTGGGTCGATACCATGCTCGTCAGAGATCACCTCCCAGAACTGTTAGAAGTTTAACAAAGACTTTAGTTGAAAAACTAAGTTTCTGTTTATAAATACGTAAACGTGCTTTAACCACAATTTGGAACGTCCTAAAACATTTTGGTAACATCACCGAAGTGTTCTCATGACAACGCCTTTATCATCGCTTGTGAAATAACATCAATTAAGTTATTGCTGATGAATAAAAAAAAAAAGTATATCAAACCCTACAAATTATGTCTAGACTGCCGACAGTCGCGACAGTCGAGTTGCGGTACGCAGGGTAACAATGCGTTTCCCACATTCTTATTTTAAAATTATTAAAATTACTTTGTTTACTCTGGATTTATAGTATTCGGGAGTTTAAAATATTAGCAGGCTTATAAAATGTTAGCGTTACACATCTTTAATAATAAAAATAAAAACTAGAATCACCCATCTACTCTGAAACATGAAGCGAACTGCAGTAAACAGGTTAAGATTCCAGAGCGTATCTTTTTTTTTTTTGGTTTGGAATATACTATAGTGTTCTCTGGCCACTAAAATTTGAAACAAACTTAAAACAGGCAAACCGTTTTTATACCAATAATACTAATACAAGCCTTACTAACATACAATTACAAAACTTCTCAAACAATTTTCGAATTTCAACCGACGAAACAACCTAAACAATTCAGTTTTTACAAGTTTATTAATTATTACGAATGAAATAAATACGGGGCTAATATCAAATCAAGAGATGGCATATTTCATGTAGTCGGTCTGTATCTTTGCAAGCCATTCTAACTTAAATCTAAACTCTTTTTTAACATTCTAACGTTCGTGAAACCAGCTCAACTGCAAGATAACAGCTGAAATAAGTTGGAAACCTTCTAAATATCTGTAAATAGAAATTTAGAATGCTACTTCTTACCTTAGCACCTATTTGATTACCACACTGGCCAGCTTGGATATGCACAATTTCTCTCATCTTAGTGGTTTCTCAGTTGTACACTTTCAGAAAATGTCCTCTTTGTCTGATGTTCCAACCCGCAATGACGCAAACTTGACACGGCGCCTTTATTATACACTGACGTGGTGCGCATGCGCTATTTGGTATTAGAGGAGACTGAAGGAGATTGTTGCGGCCTGAAGCTAGCTAAATACATAGGTGGATATACGATAACTTTGGTTTAAGCAACGCAATTAAAAATATTAAAATAAAAGGAGTAAAGTTGGTGCATGCGCAATGTAACCAACAACTTACATTTTTGATCAAGCAAACATTTAGTATGAGGAGTTTTCTTTTTTGAAGGTGATATAGCCCATTCTATTTTTGTACATGAATCTTCTCTAAGTCGAAATTAATATAACTGTGTAGTCTAATCGCAAGTTGTTCCGATAAATATAAAATCTTATTTGACCGCATTTCTATCATACGGATTCTTACTACAAGTATACATGAATAATATATACAATCAACATTGTTGCACAAACGTTCGACTCATTCGGTTTTTCCTTGTGAAATTCTCGAAAGATTTGAAAAACATTTTTATTTGGTGCAAAAGTGTAATACTGATTAAGTCATAAAACAACAACAACAACGTAAACATGTACGTAGAAGGACAGATATGTCAGCAACACACAGAGCTGGGATTGTTTGTTTGTTTGTTATGGATTTTGCGCAAAGCTACACGAGAGCTATCTGCGCTAGCCGTACCTAATTTAGCAGTGTAAGACTAGAGGGAAGGCAGCTAGTCATCACCACCCACCGCCAACTCTTTTGCCAACGAACAGTGGGATTGACCGTAACCTATTTTTCCTGTGGGAAATGTAATCTAACCTAAAAATTAAAATACTTCATACGTACTTTAGTTATTATAAAGTATTAAATAGAAAAATGAAAAAAAAATGTTTGTTATAAAAACCACATAGCTGAGAGTACATTCTTATGGCGAATGAAAACTAGCCTGAAAAACAACAAACTTTGTTAAAAAATAAATATGGAGCTCAATTTATCATTCGATTTACCATTTGTCAATGAGCCATATTGGTTTTGAGGAATTCCACCTTTGTTTACAACTCTGGACAATGGCAAATCGAAAGAATAAGACCAGCTTCATACAGCAGAGGTGTAAATTAAAAGTGTGTGTGTATGAGGGGCACCCAAGATTTATTTGACAGAGCGAAGCAAGGGAATATGAGCCACAGGCGCACACATTACGGCCGGAATTCAGAACTCGCCTTAGGGCCCTGAAAGCTCTTTGGTTCTGGATTAAATTGTATGCATTCCCCTGCTTTTCCTGAGAGTAATTTTCTTCATTTTGATGCATTTTTACTGGGACAGACCGACACGTGAGGGAGCCAAGCCTCTCCTGTTCCTACGCCACTGTACAGTAGTGAAATACATATATCTTTAGATCTTGTGACCCCCCCTCCCAGTTTCATATTCCAAATTGATATAAGAATGTATGAAAAATACAAATCAAAAACTAAAATAACATACTGTTACGACAGCGGGAGTCACGTGACGCTAGTAACACGTCATATTCTCGAAGGTTCGTGAAGT